TCTTACAATTTGAAAAGATTGCAGAAAGCTTAGACTGGCCTGAAGAGAGCTGGACTGTGATGATCCAAACAGCTTTTACTGGACAAGCTAAGAGAGTGTTCACTAATTTACCAAAAGAAATATGTAAAGATTATGATGCTGTGAAAGATATAATTCTTCAAGCTTATGATTTAGTCCCAGAAGCTTACAGACAGAAGTTTCGAAACCTAAGAAAATTGGAGTTACAGACTTACGTAGAGTATGCTATCGATTGTGATTTGCGAAGTTCTAGCTTCGCCCGGGCCTTCGGCTATGGCCCGGCCTGTGTCAGCTTATTAGGGCTGACTCATTTCGATCTATGGCTCTCGGTGCTTACCGTGGCGGTGGGATTGCCAGCAGGCGCTCCTGCTGCCACGGGGTAAGCGAATCGCATGCTGCTGAGAAAGAGAGGCTGTTACAACGCTGGTTGAGATCTAGAAATGTTCAGACATTCACTGATTTAAAAGAGTTGATATTATTAGAGGAGTTTAAGCGTTCTGTCAATGTTGATATAAAATTGTATTTAGATGAACGAGAAGTGACCACTTTAAGTAAAGCAGCAATACTTGCTGACAATTTTTCATTAACTCATAGTAGACGCAAAACTCAGAGTTATCTTTGTGCTGGAAGGAAGTCAGGTGGTAGTGAAGAGTCAGGTGATCAGGGTGCTAGGCCTAGTAAAATTGTAAAATCTGCTCAAGGGAAAAATAAAATAGGAGTAGACAAGATTGATTCTTTAGTAACTTGTTTCTATTGCAAACAACGTGGCCATGTATTCGCTGTGTGCCCTAAATTAGCTGCTAAAAATGTCGCTAAGGGAGCGACTTCGCTTACTGTTGATTTAGTGGAAGAGACTGATGTTAATACTTCCCATAATGTTAAGTCTGACATTTTTGAGCCGTTTATTTTCACGGGATTGGTTGCAAGTGACATGTCCTCAGATAAGAGTTACCCTGTTCGAATTTTAAGGGATACCGCTTCTTCCCAGAGTGTATTAGTTAAGGCTTCTATGCCTTTCGTGGAGAATTCATACACTGGGGAATTCGTAGTCATTCGGGGTTTTGGAGGGACCGTCACTCTCCCGTTAGCGCGGATATTTTTGCGATCAGACTTAGTTGATAGATACATCACAGTTGGAGTTCACGACTTTCCTCTTCCTGTGAGCGAAGCAACTTTGTTGCTAGGGAATGACGTAGCTGGCGAATGCGTTGTACCTGACCCGATTGTACGCCCTGTACCGTCCGGAGTGAACCCCACAGAATCCCTCGATAATGAGTATCCGTATCTCTTTCCCTCGTGCGCAGTAACGTGAAGCGTGTCTAAACGCATTGATAAGGAAACCTCTCCGACTAATGTACCTAATTTTGATAACTTGACAATTAGTTCCTTATTTAATGATGAAGAGGGTAATGAGGAAAAACTTGATTCTGTGAAAGAGGTTAGTATTAGGAGTTTACCAATAACTCGTGACATGCTCATCGATGCACAACGTAAGGATAAAGAGTTATGCAAATATTTTAGTCTTGTTGACGATTCACAGCCACTCGATAGTATGTACTACTTAAATTCTGGTGTATTAATGCGGAAGTATAGACCTGTTGATGTTCCGGCAACAGACGCCTTTACAGAGATTCATCAAGTAGTTGTTCCTTTTCCTTATAGACAGGATGTTATAAGTCTTGCTCATGATATTAATGGAGGTCACTTGGGAGTTTCCAAAACCTACTTTAAAATTCTCATGATGAAGAAGGATGTGTCATCATATTGTAAGACTTGTCATTATTGCCAGGTTGCAGGGAAACCTAACGAAGTAATTCCCCCTGCCCCGCTTCACCCCATTCCGGTAGTTGCTCAACCATTTAACCATATCTTAATTGACTGTGTCGGACCATTACCGAAAACCAAATGCGGTAATCAGTACTTACTGACGATCATGTGTGCTACAACCCGTTACCCAGAGGCTATCCCCCTTCGAAATCTGACCGCAAAAAGTGTGGTTAAAGCTCTGACTAAATTTTTTACTCAGTTTGGGATCCCGAATAAAGTACAGTCTGATCAAGGTGCAAACTTTACATCCGGTCTCTTTCAACAAGTCATGAATGAATTATCAATTAAGCAATATTTGTCCACTGCTTATCACCCTGAATCACAAGGAGCCTTAGAAAGATTTCATCAAACATTCAAATGTATGTTGAGGAAATATTGTGTAGAGGTGGAGAAAGACTGGGATGAAGGTGTTCATGTGTTACTGTTTGCTAGCAGGGAAAGCAAACAAGAGTCTCTCGGGTTTTCTCCATTTGAATTGGTGTATGGCCATGAAGTTCGATGTCCCTTAAAGCTATTAAAAGAGAGTTGGGTATCAGAGGAACATGTGATGCCATTATTAAAATATGTCCATACTTTTAAAGAGAGACTACTGCATGTTCGTGATTTTGCCATGAAAAATTTGTTGAATGCCCAAGGCGTCATGAAAGAACAATAAGACAAGAAGGTTGAAAAAAGAGAATTTGAGCCAGGACAGTTAGTGTTACTGTTTCTCCCTCTTTCGAAAAATGCTTTACAGTCTAAGTATTTTGGTCCCTATCGCATTAAAGAAAGAAAAGGTGATGTAAATTACGTTATAGAGACCCCAGACCGTAGAAGGCAGGAACGTTTGGTTCATGTAAATCTAATTAAGCCTTATCACAATAGAGAAGCAATGGTAGAGCATAAAGTGTTAGCTGTAATCTCAGAAACAGAAGAGTTTTGTATAGATGACCCAGTAAAACTAAACAACAGTGACATTTTGACTAATCTTAACTCAAAATTACAGCATCTGTCATTTCGTCAATCTGAAGAGTTGGTGCTTCTCTTGAAGGAATTCCGGTGTGTGTGTAGTGATGTCCCGAGACCCTGCAGAGGTGTGCAACACGATATAGTACTGATCGAGAACTCTGCACCCATAAAGCAGTCTCACTATCGGCTGAGCCCCGAGAAGCGAAAGAAGCTTCGGGAGGAGGTGGACTTCCTCCTTGCCAACGGACTTGCGGTGTCGAGCGACAGCGAGTGGGCTTCGCCTTGCCTGCTCGTCCCCAAAGCCGATGGTGGATTGCGTCTCTGCACGGACTACCGTAAAATCAACAAAGTGACTTGCTCTGATTCCTTTCCTCTACCGCGCTTGGATGATGTCATCGATGGTATCGGCAGAGCTCAGTTCGTAACAAAAATCGACTTGCTGAAGGGATACTACCAGGTGGAGCTGACGGAGAACGCGAGAAGAATAGCAGCTTTTGTCACCCCCGACGGTCTCTTCGAATACAAGGTCATGCCGTTTGGGTTGAGGAACGCCCCAGCAACTTTTCAGAGGTTGATTAATGGTGTCATTCGAGACTTGGAAGGGGTTCAAGCATACCTGGACGACCTCGTCATCACGTCGGATACTTGGGAAGAACACCTTGAGCGACTTCGAGCTTTACTCGCACGGCTCGCTGAGGCTGAGCTGACAATTAACCTGGCGAAGAGCGAGTTCGGGCATGCCAAGGTCATTTTCCTGGGTCACGTGGTTGGGGGAGGCACAGTGGCACCCGTCACTGCCAAAGTTGAGGCGATCTTGCAGTACCCGACTCCGACAGACCGCAAGTCTCTGCAACGCTTTCTTGGAATGGCTGGTTACTACAGGAGGTTCTGTCCGAATTTCGCTCACGTATCTGCCCCTCTAACAGACTTAATTAGCCCTAAGAAGCAATTTACTTGGACGTCAGAATGTCAAGAATCCTTTGAGAAAATACGAGCCATGCTTACGTCTCCTCCAGTTCTGACGTCTCCTGATTTTGAAAAACCATTCTGCCTGCACATCGACGCGAGTGACAGTGGAGCGGGAGCTGTGTTACTACAGGCTGGGCCCGACGATGTACTTATGCCTGTCTGTTACTATTCGTGCAAGTTTAAAAAATACCAGAAAAGTTATTCGACTATTGAAAAAGAACTTCTCTCATTGTTAATGGCGCTAGAAAAGTTTCAAGTTTACTTGAATAGTGCGACACATCCAGTAACTGTTTACAGTGATCATAACCCTTTGAAGTTCTTAGATAAAATGAAAAACCGAAATCAAAGGTTAATGAGATGGTCTTTAATGATACAGCAATTCCATCTAGAAATAAAACATATAAAGGGGAAAGATAACGTCTTAGCTGATAGCCTTTCGAGACTATAGTGAACCAAGTTGAAATTTACCAATAAATTTCCTTAAAAGGTGGAGGTGTTATAGATGGACTAATTAGTGGCATTAATAAGTTTATTTGAATGTTACTCGTTGGTATATACATTTTCATTTCGGTATTCTTTATATAATTAAAGTCTATTAGGTGTTGAGATGACCCGGCAGAATATTTAAACATGCACTTAGTAAAAGGTTTCGGAATCCGAACCGACCTTGGTTCAGGTGGCTGACTCGAGCGGACTCCTTGGCTGACTCGGACTGCACCGCCACCTGGCTTTTACTCAGCCACTCCGCCATATTGTTCAGCTCGAGTTTTGCGTGTCTCTGCCTGTGGTCACTCTCGGCTAAGTATATTATATTGTGTTTTACATATATTAGGATGTTTAGGTTAGGATTGTGTTTGGTTTTTCTCATCTATATATAATGTATTTTAAATGTACATAAAAGAAAAAGTAAATATAGTTATTTTGTTCATCCATGTGTTTACATTTTACCCGGACAAAAGTTTGAACTTGATATGGTCACCCGATAATACCCTAGACTTCATATGTGCCATAACATATATATATATATATATATATATATATATATATATATATATATATATGTACATATATATATTTGTGTGCGTGTGTGTGTAGATATATATAGTTGCATATATATATAGAAAGATTTTGTATGATTTAGTATGAAGATACCATTTTTACTGGATAGTTTTACTGTTGATCTGTGTTGTTATTTATTGCATATATATTGCTGCTTCTCATTTAGTCAACTGTGAGTCTTTCATAACCCTTTTTTGTGTATCTAACGAAAATTAAAAGTGTGTGCATATATGTATATATATACATACATACATACATGGATAGATAGATTGAGAGATAGAGAGGCCTATGTCCTGCAGTGGAATGAAAGGCTGTTAAATATATATATATATACATATATATATGTGTGTGTGTGTGTGTGTGTGTGTGTGTGTATACGTATATATATATATATGTGTGTGTGTGTGTGTGTGTATGTATGTATATATATGTTTATGTATATATATATATATATGTATGTATATATATGTTTATGTATATATATACACATATATATATATATATATATATATATATATATATATATATATATATATATATATATATATATATATATATATACACAGACACGTGTATATATGTATATGTATATATATATATAAATATAAATAGATATATCTATATATACGTATTTATACACATACATATATATACATATATATATTGATAGAGAGAGAGAGTTAGAGAGAGATAGATGAATAGATATATAGATAGATAGATCGATAGATAGAGAGATAGAGAGATAAAGAGACAGAGAGAGAGAGATAAAGAAAGAAAGAGAGAGATAGAAGAAGAGAGAGATAGAGATAGATAGATAGATAGAGAGAGAGAGAGAGAGATAAAGAGATAAATAGAGAGATAGAGAGAGAGAGAATGGATGAACGAATAAGAGTGCATATATGAAAGAAAGGGATAGAAAAGGAAAGGATGAATAAGAATATTTCTACGAAGCATATGCACCATGTACCCTGCATGTAGAACAACAAAGGGAAGTACAGGAAAACACGAATATGCTGAAGGCCTTCTCGCACTTACTGAATAATGGTGAAGCAGCAAATGCGAAAAGGCCTTCGGCATATTCGTGTGTCTTCCTGTACTTCACTTTGTTGTCCTACTTGTTGTTCGACATGAAATCCACACCATGTATCCTGCAACAAGAATGGAATGGAAGAAAAGAAACATGAATTTTGTTATTGCCTACACTTGATAGACATCTCTATTTCATTTTTTTTTTTTTTCAAATGAACATCTGAATCATCCGTACCCCCCATTCTCAAAAAAAAAGGAAAAAAAAAATGATGTTGACGTCGTGGTATTAGTTGGCAGGAGAGGGGGAATCACCATGCTAAATCCCCATAGAGCATTTCATGAGTGCCTATCATAGATCCGCAGATAGAGTGGATTATTTATAGATTTCCCCAGCTCGTTTAGCTTCATAAAGTACGGTATTTATGAAGCCGTACTTCATAAAGTACGGATTTGCTGCTGTCGTTGTTGCAGGCGTACATATCTCTTTGCCCACGATTTTGTCAGCCGTGATGTGTGACTTGTACATGAATGCGTATTTTACATACTTTCCTTTCTGTTTCAACATTTGGTTCAAGTAAATCCTTGCGGATTGCCCATTGTCGTTTCCCTTACGTTATTCTCGTATCTATCAAGAGACGGTTTGGTAGTTCAAGATAGTCCTTGCGGATGCTACACGCCGTCTCCCTCTCCTATTTTCCTCTTTAACATGTAACTTTATGAAACGTAAAATACAAATAAAAAAAAAACAAGACGAAAATAACGAAAATTCGACCATAAAAACAAAAATCGGCTAGTGGCGTTTAACACCTCTTCTCTGTTGTCTTTCTTTTCTCTTACTATCTTGGCCTTTATGTGTATAATTCTGGTTCACGATATCTGAAACGGCACCGAAGGAGGCCCTGCTGCAGAAACGGTCACCTTCGGAAACTATTGAAAAACGTCATCGCCTGCCTAGACGCCGCAGATCCAGTCAAACTCCAGGAGCTCGTCAGCGTAGGTATCAGCCGCCCTGCGATGCCGAAGAGGACGCTTCCTGCCGGACGCCCGTAGATCCTGACGAAAATTACGGGGACGTCTGTACGAGCGCACAGCCGAGAAGGACCTGAAGAGATCTGCGAGACGTGCATTGGGCAAGTAAGCCGCCGAGTTAGATCTGGACGTGGACTGCGAGTAAGTCTGGGCGAGTCCGAAGTCAAGTAGGACCTGCGCGGACGTGAGGATATCGAGGACGGACGGATTTACCAGGGACCAGGACGAGGATGACAACAAAGATGAGCAGCCACGGATATGCACCAGGGACACCACACGCGAGATCAAGATTAGCAAGTTAGGACCAGCCAAGTTGGGTTACCCTTGAGGCAAGTCTAGGGCGCCTCGGGGGGCGAGGCGTTAGTAGGTGGCTGAGCAATATACCGGGTGGGAAGCAACTGTCAGTGACTTCACCTCGCCCCCCCCCCCCCTGCTTTCCGGTGGGCGCCGCTACTTATACTCCAAGGATGACCCCTGTCAGAGAGAGTCTGTCTGTCAGAGAGAGTCTGTGCCCCGCCGTTGTCGGGTCAAGTCTGATCCCTGGGCGCGGCCATTCTGCCCGCTGGGCGGTGGCCGGGTCGTGACCTTAGGCGACCCGAGCTAACCCAAGAGTTTTCTTGT